TGAGCACCTCAACAGAAAAACAGGCAAAAAATACGTGTTTAATAGAAGACACAAATGTTGTATAAACATATAAAAGGCTGTTCGATCCTACTTGTAATCTGGGAACTACAAACTTTTAAACCACCTTGAGATACCATTTCTCAGCTGTCAGACTGACAAAAATTTTAATCAGTACCAAGTGTTGAAAAGGAGGAGGAAACAACCTAAAACCCAAGCGTCCATGAATATTTCAATGGGCACCAAACTGTGGGATAGTCACATAACGAAATATACTATGAAGCAGTGAGAGGGAACAAACTACTAACACCCAAAAGAATCTCAAAATACATTTTAAGTAAATGATGCAAGTAATTTAAAAATCAGTAAGATTTTAACTACATTAAGTTCAAAAGCAGGCTAAACTAAACAGTATATTGGTTATAGAGATATAATTAAGTTATTAAAAGCAAGGAAAAAATTAATGAGCAAAAATCAGAATAGTGGTCACCCTAGGGAGAGATTGCAGTTATAATGAAGACAAGATATTGCAGGTGGTTTTTAAGGTATTTCTAACGTCCTGTTTCTTAACCTAGATGGTCAGTTTCATGAGTGTTCATTATTATTCTTAATATATGTTGTTACATACACTTTTGCAAATACATTCCACAATACAAAGTTTCTTTTTTGAGATGGAGTCTCGCTGTCACCCAGGCTGGAGTGCAATGGCACGATCTCAGCACACTGCGACCTCCACCTCCCGGGTTCAAGCGATTCTCCTGCGTCAGCCTCCTGAGTAGCTGGCACTACAGGTGCACGCCACCATGCCTGGCTAATTTTTGTATTTTGAGTAGAGACGGGGGTTTCGCCATGTTGGCCAAACTGGTCTCGAACTCCTGAAGTCACGTGATCTGCCCACCTCGGCCTCCTGAAGTGCTGGGATTACAGGCGTAAGCCACTGCACCCGGCCAAAAGTTTCTTAAATATGAAAATGATCAGCACATTGCCCGTTTTTTTCCTTTTTTTTTTTTTGAGACATTGTCTCGCTCCGTTGCCCAGGCTGGAGTGCAGCGGCGCGATCTCAGCTCACTGCAAGCTCCGCCTCCTGGGTTCACACCATTCTCCTGCCTCCGCCTCCCGAGTAGCTGGGACTACAGGTGCACACTGCCCATTTTTTAAGGATTAAAAATGAATTATTATAATTATTATAATATTAACATAAACATTCAAATGAAATCGTTTAATATCTCAATTTTAACATGATCAAAACCAAGATCCTGACTTCCAACTCTCACTCCCCACCTCTGCCTGTTGTCTTTCCCACCTGGGTAAATTGCCCCTCCAGCCTACCAGTTGCTGAGTCCAAACCTTGGAATCATCTTTGATTCTGTTCTCTCTTATTCAAACCTTACACCCAACCCATCTGCAAATCTTGTTAGGGATCTTTACATTATATCCAAAATCCTTCACTTCTCACCATCCTCTTTATACCACCCCAATCCCAGCCACCACCGTCTCTCACATGGATAACTACAACAGTCTCCTTCCTGGTCTCCCTGTCTCTGTCCTCTGTCTAGTTTACTCTCAACAGGCAGCCGGAGAGATCATTTTAAAATGCAAATTAGGGTGAGTTGTCCTTTGTTCAAAACCCACCTATAGCTCCCCACCTCTGTCACTGTGAAAGCCAAGAATCCACACAACAGCCCACTTAGCGCTACCTGTTCCAGCTCCCACTGCGGCTCCTACCACTTTCTCCCTCACTCCATCTGCTACTACCACAGCCAACTCTTCACATTGCTCAAACTGGCCATGCTGGCTGTGGCCTTGGGCTCTCCCTTGGAATCCACATGGTCACTCCCAAACTTCCTTCATGTCAAGAGCTCATATGTCACCTATTTAGAAGGTTCATCAGAACTACCCTATATGAAATTGAAAAATCCTGCCTTACAACCCAGTGCTCCCTTCCCCCTCACCTTATCATTCTCCATCTTATTATCATGTAATTGATCACATACATTATATACTTACTGTCTCTACTCACTAGAATGAAAACTCCACACAAGAAGAATGTTTACCAGTTTTTCTTCCTACTATATCCCCAACATCTAGGTAAGCACTTAATAATATCTGAATGAAGGAAAGGCCTTTTATTAAACTCTTTTTTAAATGATAAGCACTTATTATAATAGTTAAAAGTATTTTAATTCATAAAATAATAAATTGTATTATCTCCATTAACAATCATGAAAAAGTAAATTAAATTTTGCCAAATAAAATATCAAGCACATATATGCTTTTTCCTGAATATACACCATTTGTTTCCGGAACCAAAAACAAAAATAGCTAGGAATTCCATTTGCAATAAATTAAAAATTGATTTTAAAAAAATCAAGTAAAGTATGTCACAATTTGATGAAGTAAAATTGAAATAACGCTATAGCTAGAATCCTATACCTCCAACTAAATTAATGTGCTCTTGCTGTAAAGCTAAAAACTAAAGCAGAAACCATACCCTAATGTGAAAAACAAGCATTGATTACTTGCCCCAGCAACAGGAGAATAGGAAGGGCAAACAGTGCAGGCTAAAAGGAACCTTAAGAATCATCTAGTATTAGTCCCTTCATTTTTACAACAAAAGAAACTAAGGACTTGAAATGACCTGAAAAAAAAAAAAAATTTAGTTTGCTTATTCAATTGTGATCCTTGCTATAGCAAAATTCAGCTTTTATAGAATTAGAGACAAAATATATCTCCATGGAAACAATATTCCCAAGTACATATGTGAGACTGAGAAGTATGGTTTTCTATGCAGGTCTTCACATCCTAAATATACAAATACGATTTGGGGTGGGGAGGTACTGAAAAGAGCACAGTTCTAATCAGACAGGTCTGGATTTAAATTCTGGCTCTACCATTTACTTTGATTTTGGTAATTTTTGTCCATCGGAGCCCCAGTTTTTTATCAGCAAGATGGGGATCATTAAGACCTATATTATAAGTTTGTTAGGAATGTAAAAAAGTATTAAGTCATCTAACTCAGGGCCTGGTACATTCCTGGCTACAGTCTGCCTGCAGGCCTTCTGACATTTTAATCAGAGTTGCATAATGCTCAGTGAGAATCACCATCTCTGACTGCCACTGTTGACTTTATTGCACTAGCCTATATCACAGAGAGCTCCACTAACAGCAGGGCAATGAAACTGTTGATGCTGTTATCAACAGAAATTGTCAATTACCTGACAACAGATGCTAGGTGCTACTTGTTTGAGGCAAAATAAAAGACTGCTTGATTTTTCTTCTAGATGTAAAGTTGAGCAATCTATTTCTTACTAGAGTCCTGATCCCTGATCAATCATGCCTTCTCAAAACCAAAAGGGATCTCGCAGGTCATCTAGCAAGAATATTCTCCACAGTACATTAGGTTAGATTAGATGACCAATTTCTGTGTAAAGCCTGCTAGTTTAAACCAAGCTCTCACTCAGGTAGTAGTTTATTACATTTTCTGATCCTTCTAATTACCAGGAAGTGTTTTTTCCCCCACTAAGAATGGACAGGTGATGAAAAAGTGAATGAAAACATATTAATGCCACCCTTATACTCATATACTTCTGGAAACAAAAATCTTAATTATTTTCATTTGAGGGTAACAAAGGATATCCTATTTAATAACAGTTCCATAATATAAAAGTCAAGTTCCAAAAATACACCTTGAAGCTTACATTTACATTCTCAACATATATATTAGAAAGTTTGTCTTATACAAAGACTTAAATCTAAGACCTGAAACCATAAATATTCTAGAGGATAACTGGAAAACTCCTTCTAGACACTGGCTTAGGCAAAGACTTCATGACCAAGAACCTGAAAGCAAATGCAACAAAAATGATAAATAGATGAGACTTAATTAAACTAAAAGGCTTCTGCACAGCAAAAGAAATAATCAGTAGAGTGGGAGAAAATCTTCACAATCTATACAAAGAACTAATATACAAAATCTACAAAGAACTCAAATCAGCAAGAAAAAAACAAACAATCCCATCAAAAAATGGGCTAAGGACATTAGCCCACTTTTAGACAATTATCAAAAGAAGATATACAAATAGCCAACAAGTATATGGGAAAATGCTCAGCATCACCAGTTATCAGGGAAATGCAAATCAAAACTACAGTGATACCACCTCACTCCTGTGGGAATGGCCATAATCAAAAAATCAAAAAATAATAGATGTTGGCATGGATGTGGTGAAAAGGGAACACTTTTACACTGTTGGTGGGAATATAAACTAGTACAACCACTACGGAAAACAGTGTGGAGATTCCTTAAAGATAAAAGTGGCTCTACCGTTTGATCCAGCAATCCCACTACTAGGAATCTACCCAGAGGGAAAAAAGTCATTATAAGAAAAAGATACTTGCACATGCACGTTTACAGCAGCACAATTTGCGATTGCAAAAATATGGAACCAGCCCAAATGCCTATCAATCAATGAGTTGATAAAGAAAATGTTGTACATATATATATATAAAAACATATATATATAGTACATACATACACACACACACACACACACACACACACACACACACACCCCCCATGGAATACTACTCAGCCATAAAAAAGAATGAAATAATGGCATTCGCAGCAACCTGGATGGAATTGGAGGCTATTATTCTAAGTGAAGTATAATAACTCAGGAATGGAAAACCAGATACTGTATGTTCTCACTTACATGTAGGAGCTAAGCTATGAGGATGCAAAGCTGTAAGAATCATACATTGGACTTTGGGGACTCAGGGGGAAAGAATGGGGGTGGCAAGGGGTAAAAGACTACACATCGTGTACAGTGTACACTTCTCGGGCGATGGGTGCACCAAAATCTCAGATATCACCACTAAAGAACTTATTCATGTAACCAAATACCACCTGTTCCCCAAAACTTAAAGAAATTAAAAAAAAAAAATGTTTAAAAAATTGTAAAAAAAGAAAGTCTGCCTTATAAATGTATAAAACAAAGAAAACATACCTGGGATGATATCATTGATGTGCAACAGAATTGTACTTTCAACACACGCAAAACTGCAAAGCTGCACTCCGTCGAATCTTCCATCCCAGTTGCCAATAGGGTTATCCTAGAAATTAAATAATAAACACTAAAATCCTCCTCAATGAAATGTAAATGTGAAAGTCTGTATTTTCCAAAAGAATCCTCCAAAATATTTTACATTGGTAAATGTTAACAATTTTACCTAAAAGAAAGAAAGAATACATTAGGAATAGTTGCCATAGTAATAAGGCTTTGCTTTTTTCGTTTGTTTGTTCATTTTTTTTCCTTAGGGAAATGAGATCCAAGAATAACCAAGTTATATAGTAAACCCCTAGATAAGCAAAGAATCAAAAGTGTTTTTTGTACTTTACTGAACAATACATACTAGTCTATGGAATAACACCCATTTGAGGTTTTAAAAGACAATGTTTTGCATAGAAAGATTCATTAATAATATATTATTTCACCCAGAAACATGCCTCTAATTAGCCCTAGGCTCTTCATATTCCCTGAGTACTTAAATATTGTCGATCTGAACTTCTGTATGCCTTTCTGTACATAAAAAGTCTATTTTCTAATTGTTCTTTTGTCATTTTATGCGCATACAGGAATCTTCTCCAAGATGGAGATGTTTATATTTAATTATTTGATATTCTAATATAGTGCCAACTAGCACTGTGCTGTTCAGGGAACTACATCAGTAGATGGGCCAGACAACTGCCCTGGGCACGAATGTGCATGGCATGCTAAAATGCCCCTGGCAATAGAAGATGAATAGAAGGAAAAGGAGATAAAGAAAGAAGTTCTGGCATTTGCTCTCAAGGACTATAATAGAAGTGTTTGGAATAAATGTCTACACAAGTCAACTACGGGACAGACGGAGGCAGGAAGAGAAGCTGGCAGGGCAAACCTCTAGGCAGCTTGCCCCAGGTAAACAAGCTGACCCCAGACTGCCATCTGAAAAAGGCAAGGCCTAAACCCTAAACAGCTTCTGCCAAGTTTGAGGCCCAAGGTAAAGAACCTGACACAAGGGGAGACCAACCCCGATGACTAGTGGCCCTGTTTCTCCAATCTTCCCTCCATGCAGGCCACAATTCTTGAAATAAAGACAGAATTACTCTTTAAAGAATATTGGTTAAAAGGAGTGCTTTATTGTCAGCTATCCTGAGAGGCATACATGTTTTACTCTGGTTCTAACTTTTCACATATTAAGAGTAAATGTTAACTAGTAACTAACCAATGAGTATCAAATAGAGTTTCCTAGAATTTTCAAGCACAGGAAACACTACACTAAAACAAACATTACCTTACTAACCAAAAGGTGTACCTGAATAGATAAAAACGACTAAAAGCATCCCCATGGTGAGTATAAGAGACTACTACTCACGTACCCTCCTAACTCATTCTAGTATTCAATAATTCCATATGAATTTCTTTCTTTATACATAACAAAGTCTTGCCAATATGTTCCATATATGATAAAAATGGTCTCGGCCTTTCTCTTCTTATTCTCTCAATGCCACAGGTATAAGTCAACCTGCCACACTGGAATGGATCCATTATTAACAAGTATGATTGTAAGGAAACATTAAAAATAAGTGACAGAAACAAAAGGTCAAAACTTGTATGATTCCACTCTTATGAGGAGCCTAGAACAGGCAAATTCACAGATACAGAAAGCAGAAGAAACTGTGGTTAGCAGAGGTTGGGGAAAGCGGGTAGTTACTGTTTAACAGGCACAGAGTTTCAGTTTGGGGATGATGACAAAGTTCTGGAGATGAGTAGAAGTGACAGTACAACAACGTGAATACACTTAATGCCACTGTATGCGCACTTAAAAATGCTTAAAAGGTAGATTTTGTTATGTATATTTTACCACAATTAAAAAAGGTTTTTAAAATGAATGAAATCCTGTGAGATATTCTAATTATCTATTCCTCAAAATCAATGTGGTTTTCCTCTACTCAGATATTTTCTATAAATGATTTTTATACTAATTATTAAAATATACTAATTATTAAAATGGTAATATTATAATAGTAATAATATACTATATTAGTATATAATAATAGTAATAATGTACTAATTATTAAAATAGTAAATATACTAATTATTAAAACCAGATCAGCCATTAAATTGTGTGGAATATCATAAAAAAACATAGATTACCCCAAAAAACTTTTTCAAAATAAAGAAAAATAGGACATCATGTAATATATGTGCATTTTGTTTTGTTTTGTTTTGTTTACTGGTCAGCTACAATAAGGCAAATTTAAAGATTGAGAACATTACTCCAGTTTATTCAAATGGGAAAAAAAAAAAACTAAATGTAATTCTACATCTAGACCCCTGTTCTATTTCAATGCTCCTTTAGCAAAGATAAATTAGAACATGCTCTTTAAAGTATTCCAAATTAGATCATGTTAAATATTCGAAGTGTTCAATTTGCAAGTAAATTGGTCCTAAAACTAATACATATATATATATAAACTACACATATATAATATATATGTGTATATATGTTTATGTATATATACAAATATATACAAACTAATACATATATCACAAAGATATTTAATCCAAAATTTTCTTACCATGTCCACACCAACAAAATATCCTAAGCTTTCTTTTCCTGGCAAAACATCACAGAATATAACTGTTCCAGATTCTATTGTTTCTCCAACCTTCAAAGAAACTCTGGAGTTTATTTCCAAAGGAGGAAGTTCGACCTGCATTGTGTCCACAGGACCTGCATAATCACTTTCCAACGCAGTGTCATCATCTTCTATGAGTTCTAGCTTGTCCAATGCAACAAACACGCCACAGTCTTCATCACACTGAAAAAGCTGTTTCCCTTGGTACACCCCGTCAGTGAAACCTTGGCCACGACCTTCTTCCTAGTTTTTAAGAGAGAGGGGAAAGAAATAGATATAGAAAGACTACTCATAGGGAAAGGGGTTCATTCTAGGGATTTCAGGAAAATCACTCTGGAAAAATTCTAAATGACACATATAATAAATAATATAATTATTAGCAGTTGCTGTTGGATTTAAGGTGTTTAAAAAAATAAGAAAGAAGTTGTATCTGATGCTGAAATATTATCTGATAATTTCAATTAATAACTCTATTATGAAAAAGCTAGGCTGAATTCCACGTTGTGATTCTAACATTAATTTGGTTATGAAAAGAAAATGTTACTTTAAAATAGCAGTAATGTTAGCTCCATTCATTAAGCACTTACTGCCAGCCACTGTGCTAAATCCTGTATCAATGTACCACAAAAATACTACAAGTCATGTACTATTAACACCACTGTACTGGTAAGCATGCAGAATGAGAGAAGTTAAGTAGCTTTGTTAAGTAACCTGGCAACCCAGCTAGTACATGGCTTAACTGGGATTCAAATTCCTAATTGTTTACAATCACTGCTTTAAAAAAAAATTAAATCAAGAAGCAAAGAAGACATGCAATTCTACTGGCAATGTCAAAATGTAACTGGCATTTCAGTTACTGTGAATGAATATTAACTTTGGAAACATATCACAGCATTCTTGGGTCTCCTTCCAGTAGAAATAAATTCCAAGGATGTTCACATATATTATCAGGGACAATCACAAGCAAGTTTAAATTTCTGCAACTTTTTTTCAAAAATTTTGTATCTAAATTGTTATTACTTAATAACATACATTAAGAAGAACTAAGAAACCTATAGATGATAATGCAAGGTAATTAACAACTTTTGATGTAACTATTTACAACTGGTAGTGTTAATGCTTAATATAGGCAATGTTAAAATTTCTAAAATATAAATGCCTGCAATAACCAGGTGAACCTCTTTGTATGTTCCTATCATAGCACATAGCTTTTTAAAACTTTCAACATCATCTTTACAGCATCGCAATTCATCATTAAAAAGTAAACAAAAAAATTAAATCAAGAAGCAAAGAAGGCATGCAATTCTATTTGCAAGAATGTCAAAATATAATTGACATTTAAGTTCTTGAGAATGAATATTAAGCTTAGAAACATATCACAGAGTTCTTGGGTCTCTTTCCAACAGATATAAACTCCAACGTGATTTTCACACATATTATCAGTGATAACTATAAGCAAGTTTTGGATTATGGATTTATCCATAACATGGATTCATCAGCAAGGATGATGAATATTAAAAATTACAGAAGACTCTTGGGAAAATATTTTTGTATTTAAAGGAGAAAAATACATATGTGCATACAAATACCCATAGACACACAAACACAAACACACTACTAAAATGGTTTATCAAACTTACCAGCAATTCAACTCCAAAGAATATTCCAGAGACTGTCCTCTCTGCTAACAGGGGTCCTCTGAAGCGCACAACTCCAGGAAATTTTTCTTCCCCAGATCTCAACTGTACTTTCACAGGGCAGCCCACGTCTATTTGGAGGCCTTTACTTAGTCTGTTTCTGTTTTTAAACAGGCTGAACCTCTCCTCACAATTGGTAATTGCCAAAAGTAACTCTGTGAACTTTTCATTTATCTCTGCAACATCCTTTTCATCAACAAAGAGAACTGCATGAGGTTGCTCTAGAATTTTTAATCCAATCTGATTTTTCTTGCCTTTTGCAGAAGGAATCCTCGAATGCCCCACAGAACGATCTTGAATATACTGTCCTATACTTCCCTTCGGTACTTTAAGGAGCTTTTGTGTTTGTTTGTCTGTAACGCTGCATTCTTGAAGAAGCAAATAAAAACTCCGCTCTTCCCAGTAGGGCGAAGTAACTTTTTCTTGGCTCCATAAGCCTGAACTCATTGTGATATTAACTTCAAAATACTAATTCAAAAAAAGGAAACTACTAATAACTTTGTCATAAAACCACAAAAAATAAATTCAGTGGCAGTCCCAAAGCATGTTTTCAGCAACGTGGTGTCCATGCTGTAAAAAGAAAGGAAATCTAAATGCCTGCTGAAGAAGCAAAAATAAACTTTAGACTTCATTCTACATGACTGAAAATTAAGACTGAAGACTTTTAAAATTTTCATTTGACCGGTAAACACATACACATAAATGAAATATTTTCAAAAAAACATCTAAAAGAGTTAAAGACATACAGTATATTACTTCTATCTACTGCAACTGTGCATATTTAATTAATGAAATCCAATTGTAAGGTACTTTCAAAGACAACACAATAATGTTTGCTTCCAAGACAATGAAATTTATAAAATCAGATTCTAGTAAAAACTTTTAAAGGTTACCCTTATATACACATTCTAATTTTTAAAAAATTTATTTTTATTGATTTATTTATTTTGAGACAGGATCTCACTTTTGTGGCCCATGCTGGACTGCAGTGGCACAATCATGGTTCACTGTGGCCTCGACCTCCCAGGTTCAAGTGATCCTCCTACCTCAGCCTCCCGAGTAGCTGGTACTATAGGCACGTATCACCACACCCAGCTAAGTTTTCTATTTTTTGTAGAGACAGGGTCTCACTATGTTGCCTAAGCTGGTCTTGAACTCCTGGGCTCAAGTAATCCTCCTGTCTTGGCCTCCCACTGCGCTGGGATTACAGTCGTAAGCCACCAGGCCTGGCCCATGTTCTGACACTAATAAACTTTTAAAAGTAGCATTTGGGGCTGGGCCCTGTGGCTCATGCCTATAAATGATAGCTATGATATGGCCATATTTTGATAATGGAACATTTTACCTCTGACTAAACTTCATTTCATATATTTTGTCTGAAGATGGGCAATGTTCATCACATTAATCATAATTATCATCTAATTTCTCAAATCGCAAATATCAGATATTATAATGTGACTATATTACAAATATTTTAAAAATCAATTTTGTAGCATCAAAACTTGTACCACAGAGCAAGAGAATATCATGATATAATTGCATTCTAATTTATTTCTATGATTTCTTTTTCAAATTTTCATTTATTTTATTTATTTATTTATTGAGACAGCATCTTGCTCTGTCACCCAGGCTTGAGTACAGTGGTGTGATGATAGCTCACTGCAGCTTCAAACTCCTGGGCTCAAGTGATCCTCCCGCCTTGGCCTTCCAAGGTTCTAGGATTACAGGCATGAGCAACTGCACCTGGTCCTCATTTAAAATTTTTACAAGAATAATCATCTTTCCAATGAAGTAGCCTTATTCTCAAACCTATTTTAACTGATGGTTAAAAAACTATACAATTTCATTAATTCAAACTGAGACTTGACTTCATTATTTTAATTACTTTTCTGCTGAAAACAATAGTTCCCCGGTATCCCTGTCATAAGAATGTGGCTATCTGGTTTCCAAATACAGTACTTATTTCATCCTTCCTTGAGATAGAGGTATCCATTTCCATTATTCTGGATAATGGCTGCAATTGATAGCACTATCATATTTATTTTATTCTAGCAATTCCGAAATAAATACTCCTAAAACTAAAGAACCAAATTTTAGATTTAATCACTTAATGATCAAACAACCTGGCAAATCTATACACAGAGGAGCGCTTCTTTTAGAAAGCACTGCTAGATAATGAAGTATTCCATAATGGTAACGTTTTTAAAAGTCTCTCCCTCTACAAGACAGCATGAGACATGTGGTTTAGCCAAGACAGGATACAGCTTAGGCACCCCCTTCAAACCAACCTGACTGAACTATCTGTGTAACACTCAGTGAGGGTAAAGGCAGAGGTAGCATGAAGTGGTTCTCTTTTTTTTCTTCTTCTTTGTGGTGTGTTTGTTTTCATTCCACTTGAGGGCACTGTCTACTTCAGCAAGAATGGTATCAATTCATATCTGCCACTTACATAAGACACCTGTGGAAACCTCTATCTTGACACCATATAAACAAAACTCCTTTTAAGGGCTGCCCAAACAGCTACCCAACCCCTCAGTTTGGTTCTATTCCTTTAAAGGACCAAACTGAACTGTTGGTTCTTTTTGACCAAAATGCTTTTAACACATCAACACTTTCCACAAGAAAATGTCCTTAGTTTCTTCTTGATCATTGATGTATCATTATGACTGTAAATTACTTTGCATAACTCTTGATCTGCAAGGCTGTTATTTTGTTAAAAGGCTGTACCTTATGCTTCCTGAGGTCACGAATGCTTTCTACAGATCTACTGTCTAGAGTTTTCCCTTGCAATCAGCCATTTTCTGTGGTTTCCTGCTGTATGCATTTGACTCCTTTTACGGCCTTGTTGCTTTTCAACTTACTGCTTCAAATCAGTTCTGAGAAGCCAGGTGGTGAAACATGTTTGTGTGTTTGAAAAACAAAGCAACAATCGTGAAAAGAGGTACGCATACATTCTGAAAGGGTCTTTCGGAGCAAAGCGCACATAAGCTTTACTGAATAGAGATTTTGGTCACTTCCAGAAGGTTATGATAGTCAAAAAGCAACATCCAAAACACTGAGCTGTGGTTTTGGTTCTCTTTAAAATGTATTCAGGTTTTTTGGACCAAAAGTTTTTTGAAAAGGGTCAAGCAATTCTATTTTGAAAAGAAATTCTTTTTTAAAATTCCTAAGATTAATGTCTTCAAATATTACAATCAGAAACTTCCTTGAATCTTAATTATTGCTTTATACCAACAGCTCCTACTCTATTGGTCCTCTAGCTTAACTATTAATGTCACAATTTAAAATAAAAATCATTAGTGCTAATAATCTATTATTAAGACAAAACTAAATTACTACATGTGCATTAGGACACTAGGTTAAATAAATTTGATTATAAGCTTGCTTTCTGAAATAATTTAAGGGAGGGAATCCACAGTAAAAATTGATGTAACTGCTAGGTTTATGAAAATGCTTTGGGTAATAAACAAGCTTTCAAGTACCATATTTTAAAGTGAACTCTACAAGGAGCAGTAACTTTTCCCCTAACTTTCATGAGAACAAGTGGAAATGAGCTTAGACTTAGTAACACGATGGGTCATGTCAGACAACTAGAACAGTCAAGCGCAAGTTATCAAATATTTCAAAAGCATTATCCAAAAATAAAGGATACAGCCTTTCCTCTTTCAGAAAGAATACATTAAGAACAGGTTTGAAACTATCTGATTAAAAATTGATTCTCTTCATTGTAACTGAAAGAGAAAGTTGAATGGGAAACTTCACAGCTCGAGCCTAGAGATATACAAGGCAATAAACTGAATGATCATTAATATTCTCAGCCAGGCGCGGTGACTCACGCCTGTAATCCCAACACTTTGGGAAGCCAAGGTGAGTGAACAGGTTGAGCCCAGGAGTTCAAGACCAACCTGTGCAACATAGTGAAACTTTATCTCTACAAAAAGTACAAAAGTTAGCATGTGCCTGTAGTCCCCAATACTTGTGAGGCTGAGGTGGGAGGATGGCTTGAGTCCTGGAGGGAAGGGCTGCAGTGAGCCATGATCCTACCACTGCACTTCAGCCTGGGTGAAAAAGCAAGACCCTGTCACGTACTCTCTCACATATACACACACACTCATATATATATACGTATGTATGTATATATATGTATGTATGTGTATATATATATACACACACTCATATATATGTGTGTGTGTGTATATATAGTACTCAAAATACCAGTATTACAATAAAAATATGCTAACATACATTTCTCCCCACTATAGAGGTGAATATAACGCCAACATTCTACTTTCACTGGGATGTGCACAATAGTTAAATAGTTAAAGTCTTAGGTACCCCAAGCAGTAAACACTGACTCAACACACTATGAAGGGAAAGATCTAAATCACATTGTAAATGAGTTATTTATCATCAAGAAGGTTGGTTTGTTAGTTTGGTATTTTTTATGCTTTCAGTACAGAGTTAGATAGTGAAAACTACATCATCTAGGCTAGGCACAGCGGCTCACTTCTGTAATTCCAGCACTTTGGAGGCTGAGGTGGGAGCATCCCTTAAGCCCTGGAGTTCAAGGCTTTAGTGAGCTGTGATAGCGCTACTGCACTCCAACCTGGGTGACAGAATGACAGCCTGTCCCAAAAGCAAGAAAAAAAAACCAAAGAAGATAAAATTAGCATGGTGTGGTGGTGTATGCCTGTGGGCCCCGCTACTCGGGAGGATGGGAGGATCGCTGGAGCCCAGGAGGTCCAGGCTGAAGTGAGCTATGATCACGTCACTGCACTCCAGCCTGGGTGACAGAGCAAGACCTTGTCTCAAAAAAAAAAAAAGGAAAGAACAACAACAACAACAAAAAACATCAATCCACATTCACTCAGCTTCTGCCTTTAAGTAAAGGCCTAGGGAACAGTAAGACAACGGAAGGAAAAAGAAGCACAGCTAAATTCAAAGTCACTGTAGGGCAGGTGGGGATGAGGGGTCAGTGTGAAGGGAGAAATGTTCATTTGTATTCTCTTATTACTTTGCAGGTTGAATCACTTTGAGTGAGTATATTACAAATGACTCATCTAAATACTGTCTTACTTCAGGCTGGATAACTGTGTGATTATGAATATCCTGCTAATAAATACTGAATGAAAATTACCAACGAGTTGAAACACAGTAATATGTTTAACCCTAAAGCCATGTTGAACACAAGGCCTTTCCTTTGGGGACACTGAAGAAGGAGAACAGTTCAGGTTCACATAGATTTGAAAACATTTCTGGTTATCTGAGCTTGTTGATGGTCTGGATTCTAAGTAAAGGGGAACTTACTTGTATTAAGATAAAGTCATTAAACCAAGATGAGGGTTGAAAGGCACAAATATTTATCAATTTTCCATGAAGGCAATGGAAAGATGATCAGGAAATAAGTTTTACATGAAAATGTTAAAGATTACAATTACCACATTCTGAAAGGCAACATATACTACAAATGAACATCAGTAGCTACAGAAAACTAACAATGGTTAACTTATCCAGAAGATACAGTGTCTTTCTGATTCTCAAGTTATCAGGTTATATTGTTCATAAGGATCTCACAAAGACAGATCCAATTCAAGAGCTTTTTGCATCTCTTGAGATATCCTGCTTGTTCTAAAAAGGAAGCTACCTAAATTAGAATAAAAATTACAATACTAAATTCTGCCCCTAATTACCAATGGCAAAGAGGTAGGAAGGTCAGCGTGGACACCAAAGAAGGAAGACATGTGGGCCTTTTCCCAAAAGCTTCTGGATAGCTAGAATGATTACTCTTTTAAAAAACAACACCTCTCACTAAAAGACAAAGTTGTTCTATTTCTAAACAGCTAAAGAATAGGGATACAGAGATTCCGTGGCCAGAAAAAAAGACTGAGTCCGTTTTAATTTTCCTCAATGACTAATTTGTGTCACAAGTACACAGTCCCTAATATAAGTGGGATTTATAAGGTTAAAAGAAAAGCAAAGCCTCTCACATCTGCATATTCCCGCGGGAACACGGAATACTGCTGCCTCTCTAGTGTTAAACCTAGCCACTCCACTGCCAAACTGTGAATTCCCCAAGTCCTTCATTTTTATATTATCCAGTGCCCACACGAGAGCCTGGCATATGCTAGGCACTGAATACGGAGAAATGAATGAAAGACTCAAGTGCCAACAGTGAAAACAAAATTGCATTTCCTCCTCCTGTTTAAGGGATTAAAACAAGAGAAAGAGAAAAGAAAAAGACTAAGGAATTGGGAACATTTCATGAATTTTGCCTAAAACTTCACTAATTCTCTGGATAAAATGAAATCATGCTAAACCACTTCATTGTTACACATATAAGAAACAAATACAGAAAATTTCACAATTACGAAACCAAGTTGTTTTGAGGTTTATTTGAAACTAGCTTCCTAGAGCCTCACTAGCATGTATCTACTTAGAAATTCTGTTCAACCAATGGAAAAAAAAAAACTAATTTAAGATCATAGTGTGAAAATCAGGAACAAAATACTAATAGTTCGATAAACAACGTAAGTATTCCTTTCTCTCTCCTTGTGCTGGAGACTTCCTTAAATCAAACAAAACCACAGTTTAGGTGTGCCAGACTACAAAAATTATTGCTGCTTAATGTTAGTTGTTGCTTTATACAACAAGTCTTATCTGCTTCTCACAAAAGTTACCACCCAAAGGAAGGTTTATTTGCAAGAATACTATACAATTTTGCAGCAGAATATTAGAGAATGTTCTGGGTGTTATCGACATCCAGAGTACATGAACTTCAATAAGAATTTCCAGCAAATCATTTTCTCCTAATACTGTTCTAGTTCAAATCCACCCACTACTCAGTGGGGAATGGCAGGCTAAATTCTTAAGGCCATTCAATCTACTTGGGGCATGAGGGGGTGTGTAGAAAGCCAACAATCAAATGAACACCCTCTCAAGGCCTGGGTGCTTCTCTGAGAGCCAATGATTGCAAAATGAACAATCCTATTAAGATCTCTAGCCCATATTCAAAAGCAAGGTAGGCATGCTCCTCAGCTGAGCTAAGGATACAACTTTCCAGGAAAAACTGGAGAAAAGAAAGTGGCGGGGATGATGGGGGCTGGGAGATTGCAAGGCCACAGGCTTGGTGGCTGGAAGATGACAACTATCCTAAAACATTCAAATGCCAAGGGGTGGAAAAGAAACGATGCCAAGTGCATGAATAACCGGCAGCTGACCCAGCTGAGTACCAAACTCAACACCATCTTCCTCAAGATTTCATGACTTCCCTTCCGCCCCCCTTCCGCCACCCCCCGCCCCACCATTGTTAACATGAAAGAAAAACATAAAGAAAGAATACCTGTCACAACAGGGCGCACCTTTCAACTAAGGAACTCCAGGTGGCTGTGTAGAACCATCCTCACCCTGGAAAGGGGGAAACTGAAAGAAAAAGCAGAACACGCCATTAACGAGGCCAGAACCCCGACTGCGATTTCTGGACGGGAGCCACCAACACCCGCAAAATCGATCGCTGCATACGCCCCGCGGCGCGGACGGTAGGAATCACAGCCCCGAGCTCCTGAGGCCAACCGTGGCCGTCGGGGCCCGCCAGCGGCCTGTGCCTCAGTCTCCCCATCTGTAAATGGGGTGGGGGGCGAGGAGGGGGACAGTGTCCCGCGCGACTCCCGCCCCAAGTCCTCTCTCCTCCGAGGGTCCCGACGGTGGAGACCCGGCACGCTCCCCGGACTCGGAGCCCTCCCGGGAAGCCTCGGGGGATGGGGAAGCCCCGGGGGTGGGGAAGCCCGGGC